AACATCTAGAAACAAAGGTGTTGATGGCAGCAGCACAGCTGATATTTCTCTCCAGGATGGAGTCACAGCCAAACAGGAACAGACCACATGAAGCTACTATGAAAAAGCAGAGAGAGCAGAACGTTATGCCAGACATACACGGTGCGATATTTTTTATCGTTGCACGCAGCTTCAGCTCAAACTCTACGATGAAACCGCAAGATTTAAAAGCTTCAAGCTCAGGATGCATGTTCTCACACCGCAGCCTGATGCTCTGGTGCAAACTTACGACGGCCGACTGAATTTTAAACGTTTGATTTGCTCCCGACCTTATGATTCCTGATCGGGAGGCGATCTTTACCCTCTGTATGCAACACGACGAGGCTGAAATGGCCCAATCGAAAAATTCTAGCAGGACTGGAGAATCAGCCCGGTTTTAGAGGTTGAACTAACAAACACTGTAGAATGGGAGAATAGAGTTAGAATGATGAAAAGTGGTCCCTATCTCCTCCAGCAGTCTAACCCTATAGCAGCACAAATGTAGGAAATACCTCAGTAACCTAAGTATTTTTAATGAGGTATAAGAAAAATAGAGCCAATAAACATGGGAATAAATCACACAATTTACCTTGTTTATTGTATTTCCACGTTACATTTTAAAAGGTCTCCAATTTTTGTTTTGTTGAAGATTATCAGAGCTGATGTCTAAATATTTTAGATAAAAACAGCTTCTTATTGGGTGTACTTGTTTTTTTTTGTGTTTTTTGGTCAGGCTAAAGATGACCCATCCGGAGGTTTTATGAAACAATTTTAAAGGAAAACATAAAGCAGAACTGCAGGAAATGTTCCCCATTTTAAGATGAAGCTCAGTCAATAGACCTAAATTTCCTGTTCGGACTTTTATTTTCTGAAAGTCTCACTGAAATACCAAACTTGGTGTTGATGACCATGTCTTCCTGATGACGCCGACATGAACAACCAGTTCAGTCGTTTTCTAAATGGCAACACAAAGTGGGTTTTATTTCACTTGTATAAACATCCAGCTGGTGATAAAGATCTTAAGCTCTCATAATCAAGTATGGATTGGTTTTGTTCTAAGTATTTGTTGGAAGCAAGAGCATCTAAACTTCACTTTCAGTCACCGGTCTTCCTGGAACCAGAACCAGTGCAGAGTTTTATGCAGATTCTCATCAGAAAAAAAATTATTTCATTCTTTAGATCGATCTCTATTATATGGAAGAGGATTAGGGTCACTGAAAAAAAAAAACAAAAACAAAGTTTACTGATTTTAAAATTTTATTTTAGTATTATATGAAGTCTAATGAACATGTTAGCATCAAGCATTATGTCTGTTTTAGAGACTAAACAAGCTTCCATCATTTTCCACCAATGTGTTCCTGTTCCTCCCAAACATCTCACATCTTTATCAGTGAAGCTGAGTGCTCCACATCTCTGCCTTCATGGTGCCCATCTACATTAAGATCTACAATTCTGAGATTAAAGTCTCTGTATTAAACTGAAATAATATTCAAAAATCAGTTAACTTTTTGTCCAGAATTCTGACTAGATTCTGACAATAAAAAAAGTCAGAATTCTGAGAAAAAAGTCAGAATATTGACTTGTTCCCATACTAAACTGAAATATTTCAAAATCAGTTAACTTTTTTTTCCAGAATCCTGACTAAATTCTGACAATAAAAAAAGTCAGAATTCTGAGATTAAAGTCAGAATTCTGAGAAGAAAAGTCAGAATTTTGACTTTTTCCCATATTAAACTGAAATAATGTTTAAAAAATCTGTTTACCTTTTTTTTTCCAGAATTCTGACTAAATTCTGACAATAAAAAAGTCAGAATTCTGAGATTAAAGTCAGAATTCTGAGGAAAAAAAGTCAGAATTCTGAGGAAAAAAGTCAGAATATTGACTTTTTCCCATACTAAACTGAAATAATATTCAAAAATCAGTTCACTTTTTGTCCAGAATTCTGACTAGATTCTGACAATACAAAAAGTCAGAATTCTGAGAAAAAAGTCAGATTTTTGACTTTTTCCCATACTAAACTGAAATAATATTTAAAAATCTGTTAACTTTTTTTTCCAGAATTCTAACTAAATTCTGACAATAAAAGTCAGAACTCTGAGATTAAAGTCAGAATTCTGAGAAAAAAAGTCAGAATTTTGACTTTTTCCCATATTAAACTGAAATGTTTAAAAATCCATTAATCTTTTTTTTCCAGAATTCTGACTAAATTCTGACAATTAAAAATTCAGAATTCTGAGAAAAAAGTCAAAATAATGAGAAAAAAGTCATAATATTGACTTGTTCCCATACTTAACTGAAATAAATTTAAAAAATTCGTTAATCTTTTTTTTCCAGTATTCTGACTAAATTCTGACAATAAAAAAAGTCAGAATTCTGAGAAAAAAAGTCAGAATTGTGACTTTTTCCAATACTAAACTGAAATAATATTTCAAAATCAGTTAACTTTTTTTTTTCCAGAATTCTGACTAAATTCTGACAATAAAAAAAGTCAGAATTTTGATTTTTTTTTCCCTACTAAACTGAAATATTTAAAAATCAGATATCAGTTGTTTTTTCCAGTGGCTCTAATCCTCTTTCGTACTATTATGACTGTTTTTTATCTAAGGTGAAATGATAGGATGTATGTTTTTATTTGGTAGTGAATAAAGCATAAAGTGTGTGGTGATGGTGGCTGAGTCGGGCTCCTCCGGAGCCTGCGCAGTGGGGCCGGCTCTCACTGGGTGCAGCTCCCACTGAGAAGGAAGCAGAGTTTCCGGCTGTTTGCAGCGGAGCGAGCGGGTTGGTGACGCCGAGAAAAACGCCACCGGCTCGGGGGCTCGTCGTTTCAGGCTTCGGTAGTTTCCTCTTTTCTTATCTGGAGGAAGTACATTTTCTACGGAACCAGGAGGAGCTGAGTAGAAAGCCGAGCGAAGAAGCTGCAGACGGCGGAGGTTAGCCACCAGCTACCGGCATGGCCAGGGACTACGATTACCTCTTCAAGCTGCTCATCATCGGTGACAGCGGTAAGCCGACACCGAGGCTGCGGGACGGGAAGTGGGCCGCGTCGCATTTTTTCCTGCTATTTTATTAAATGGGCGGATGGATAAATCCAGCGGCGCTCTGTTAACCTCCGCCCGGACTCTGTTACTGTGTCTATTTGTTCAGCATTAAACCGAAAATAAAGAGGGAAATGTACACATCCGCCATGTTTCAGTGACAGGGCGGAGGTTGTGTGTCCGGACTGGGCACGTCAGGCCGGATGCCGCCTCCACACCTCCTGGCTCTGTCTCCCGGTCCGTTCGGCTGTTGTTGTTCAGTTAGTGAAGCTTTTATTGGACCTCTGGACTAATGCCCTCCCTTTGACCCAATGGCTCCACCGCAGCGGTCTGAAGTAGGAGCCTTTTGGCCTCCGGCTGTAGCTGCTGTTAGCTGAAAGCTAACAGCTCTGATTCATACTGAGCTAACTAAAGCGCTCTTTATTACCCCGGTTTTCTGTTATGATGTTAACTAAAAGCCTGCTGGATTTGTGTCACGAGTCTGTAAAGTTGACCAACTTGCAGGAAGTCGCTGTAATGACTTAGTTTGGTTAGCTGGTTAGTGGAGGTCTGAGCTGCCTGTTGGTGGAGGAGTTCAGCACTGCAGCTGCTCCAGAGAAATGCCCAGACTGAGGGGACGAAAACAGCACCTCTTA